CGGGCCCAGCTGCTTCGCGGCATGTGGGATCTTCCCGGACCGGGGCACGAACCCGTGTCCCCTGCATCGGCAGGTGGACCCCTGCACCACCAGGGAAGCCCAGTCAATGGTATTTCTCATTAAACTGCCATAGGTTCCTAAAAGCCAGGCTTCTTGTATGTATGTATATACATGCATTTGAGTTCTTTGGAAGTAACCTCTCTTAAGTTCAATCAGTCCTTCAAGGAATATTTATTGTAGGCATACCATTTGTCAGACACTCTTCTGAGGTACTAAGGACATGCCAAAGAACAAATAAAATCCTTGCCCTCAGAGAGTGTCACAAGCACACTGTCCCAGCCACAAGATCCGCCCAATAAAGTTTCAACTGTCAAATTTACATTTCTCCAGAGAAATCATTTTGAAGGAACATGCAACAGACTCTTGATCCTTTTGGAAAATCTTCTAAGACGCTGTTTATAAATTATTATTTTTATGCCTATATTATAAAATACTTGATGAAGGTTTACATAGACACAGAGTACATTTTCCACAATTCATAAAGTATATTGTAGTCTTTCTTACAGGAATGGCATTCACTAAAGCACTTCCAAATATGTTTTAAAACTGTAGGACCTTACCCAAAATGGTCATATCTATTTGTGTTACTCCAACCTTGTCTATAAATTTCTCATTTTTTAACCTCTACCAACATGAATTTATATGAAGAGCTTCCCTCAAACAAGACCATATCTGTTTTTTGCAAACTGTGCATTACCTAAACTAAAATCAAAGATGCTCAGTTTCAATGTGCATTTACTGAACACCTGCTGTGCATGACGTATGCAATCTGATTTCATCCTCACAGTGGTCAGCCTCATGTGGTTGTTATCTCTATTTTACAGATAAGCAAACAGGCTCAGAGAGGTTAACGGCTTATGTACCACACATGTCCCAGTGGAAAGCTGAGTATTCAAATTCACTTAGGATGTCAGAGTTCAAGTTTATTGAAATTCTTAGTCACCTTTTAGAAGCACACCAAAAAGTAAAATTAATAAAATGGTAAGAACCTTCATAGACGATTTCCGTTTCTTCTTAAGATCAGTGAAAATGGGTAACTTAAGGATGCTTTTCCAAAGTTAACACAGAATTCAAATCATTTTCCTAATTGAATAGAAGCAGTATAAACATCCAATGGGCAACTCCTCAGCCTGACTGTCCTGTTATCCACAGATGTGACATCAAGAGTAACAATAATTAAAACAGTAGGATTCTTTTTCCCTCAAAGGGAGAACAGGTTTCCAGAAGCATACTGAGGAAACAGATAGAACCCAGGGCTGCTGATGTAGAAAATGAAATTATTAGAAATGACCACGACTGGTGGCCTCGGAAAACCACTGGCAAGTTGGTGTTGGAAGATTTGCACATGCAAACAATAAGACACATATGCCTACGTGAAACTTGATTCCATACACTCTACTGGGCCTTTATCCTTTCACAAAATGAAGATGTATAACTAACATAGGATTCATGATAACTAGGAAGACTGTGAATCCAAATCATGGACTTGGGGACCTTAATATTAGTAACGGAATTTTACACCATCTAAGTTAATTATGTAATTGCCTAGAAATCTGCCTTTATTTTGTGCATTCCACATCCAATGTAATATGTAGCCAAAATGATACAGTCAATATACAACTGCTATCTTCTGTAACTTTTAGACAAAAAGAACACACAACACAAGAACAGCTTTATTTTCCCCTAAAATCTCATTTAAATATGATTTTTGCTGAGATTTATTTTTCTATACTTTAAGAAGAAAATCTTGATTTTCAATTTCCAGCTGGAGGCAGAATTTCATATCTAAAATGATATATTGCGATGAATCTCTCCTGATAAAACCTCAAAAGAAGAATCCGGGAACTACTGTAAAGTCAGTTGCACATTCCCTGGTTCTTAAGTGTAGCCACTAGAATTTGTAAAGTATGTGGCCAGCCTGTATTCATTCCCAGGAAGTTAATCCAAATTAATCCAAGAATGACCACAACAAACAGCTCTCCTTAGAGGGTCTATTATGCTGGGGCTTTGCATATCATTACTTTTAATTCACAAGACAATTCTAATTGGTTGAATTCCAATTTGTTGTTATTATTCCCATCCCACAGATAAGAACATTGAAGGCCAGGGAAATTAAAGGTATTGCCCAAAGCGCATAGCTGTTAAATTAGAGGAAAATATTCGAAAAGGTAACTTAAAAACTTGCAAAATTCAGCAGCTTTCTGGGCCTGTGGTCCTCAACAAATTCCAGTATACAGCTACCTGCTCACAAATGTCAATCAGTGGGTACCAACTTCTGTCCAGAAAGAAGCTCAAGGGCTAAGTTTCTAGATCTACCATGGCCGTAATTCTTTCATCAGTCCACCAGCAAGTTGCCTAAAATGCTGAGCCAACTCTGACTGACAAACCAAAGGAGCTAAACCCTGGTCTGGGCAATGTGTCCTGAAATGCAGTACCGGTGAAGTGATTCACCAGTGTGAAAAAGGATGCCATCCTTAGATGCTCCATCATCTCCAGATTTGAAGAACAGGTTTAAGTGGAGGTGGGTGAGAGGACATATTTCAGCCCACAATTTTAAACACATTCATATTTTCTCTTCTCTCCCTACCCCCCCATCCCCTTACCTCTCTTTCTCAGTAAAGTTTGCATGTGGGTATAAACGTGGAGAATACTGAGAGGGGGTGACAATGTGACGGAGAGGAATGCACACTGAGGTTCAATCAGAGTAGCAATGAAGAAATTGTTGATGTCAAAAAAAAAAAAGAAGAGGAAGAAAGAAAGGAAGAAAGAAAAAGAAAAAGAAAGAAAGAAAGAGAGGAAAAACCCCTCTCCTGATTGGCAGAGCCAAGCTGATTGCAGAGCTGGGTTTCCCACGCGAAGCCCAGAGCTGAACTACGCAGTAAAAACCCTCAAAGTACATTTTTTTTCTTTATTCTCTTTTTTCAGTTGTGCTAAATTGCAACTGAGCAGGAACTTAAAATAACTTGAGTCAATCTTTGACCACAACTGATGACTTAACTGTGGTAATGTAAAAACAAAACAAACATGCAAGATATCTGCAAGGAATTATAAGATATGCAGAAACCTATAGGGAGCTTGGGGGCAGGGGTGGGGAACACAACCCTGCACGACCTTATTTTCATAGGTCGGTAAATTTATTGCCTGATCTGTGTCCCAACAGGAAACATGTGCCCAGAAAAATAAATTAGAGAAGTGCTCAACTGTAGGCTAGTTTAGTTAAGGGGTAATGAAAAGGATAAGAATAGATGATGTGAGTGAAAGAACAGACTCAGATGCTTTTAGCAGGGAGTTTCTGGTTTCTATTATCATTCTCTCATATAAATCTAACTCCATGGTTCTTTAATGACTCTCCAGGGACCACCACTCGCTGGATTAAATGAGCCCAATACCAAGAAGGGACCCAGGAGACTGCTGCCTTTCATCTCCTTTGGGATATGCCAGTGTTGTGGATCTTTTTTTTTTTTTTCCAAATAGTATTAAAGTTAGGGTTATCTGAGCTCTTTTATTAACTAAAAAAAAAAAAAGGCTAAGAAAAGACATGAATGCTGGAGATGGGCTACCCATGAGGTCCAGAATGTCAGGAGTTTATTGCAAGCTCTCAGAATAAGTACCTTCCTTGACCCTTCTAGAGAAAAATGGCAGCTGTGGGGAAAGAAGTAATTCTTCCACGTACGGCTGTTTCCTGTCCAGTTTGGATCCCAAACTGACTTTTGTCAGCTCTTCAGAGGCTTGTGTGAGTCACCTGTCTCATATGCTTTGGCCATTAACCAAGAGTTATGACTTCTCCAGGCCTCAGTTTCCTTTTTTATTTGGCATGAGATCTCTGGGGAATCTTCTGGCTCTAAAGTTATATGAGTCTATGATTCTGATAGAAGGCCCTGGAGAGAAATAACAGAAGACTGAGAGGCAGAGTTCTGTTCAAACACAAAACTAAAGAAAAGCCAGCTCCATGATCCTGGCAGCGATGGGGGAAGAGATGCAAAGAGGGGAGATCTTATAGGCCCTCAGGCTCTCTAAGCATTTTCAACCATTTTTAAAATTTTTCTTTAGTGGCTTCTTTCCCCCAAGACAAAGCTGGCATAGGAGAAGCAGTGATGCTTAACGCACAGACCTTTATCTAAGTTACCACAGGACACTAGATTTCTGCCTTTTTTTAAAGAGCTCTGAACTGGTATGGCAGGGAACACTGAAGGAAACTGGCAAAACTGAAGGCGACTAACTGCCCAGGGCACCTACATGGACAGCCTCTCTGTTACCCAGGGAAGTGGTTAGAAGGAGGTGGGGTTGAAGAGAGGAGGGTCCTCCTCTCATCCTTAGCACTGGTAAGAAGCTAGGTAACCTAATCTCTAGACCACCACTTTCCAGACTGTGTGTGCAAGAGAGATTGGGGATGGTGCAGCCACAGCTTTCCACCACTTCCTCCCCCGTCCCACTCTCCCTCCCTCCACCCACTCACCAGCCAGAAGCCAGCCTTCATCTGGTTGGTTTATTATCATATTTTTGTGGTAATGCATTCTGTTGATCCGCGATGTCAGGTTGGATAATGAAATTTAAATTGGGTCCCTTCGATTTCCAATGGCTAAACATTTGTGAATCTAACTCCGGGGCTGCCATGCAACTTAAACGCATTCTAGAGTGTTGATCACACAGCACAAGGCACCCCACACTGCAGCGGCGTTCTTGGGGAAATTTTTTTCCTCCGGATGGACATTTGCAAAGGCATTTGCCCCGGGATGCAGACAACCTGCATCATTATAGCAAACCTTATCAGTGAGCACAGCCTGATGGGGCAAATGTGTGGGCCACCTTCTCCCTGTTTTCTGGTCCCCACAGCCAGGTCTTTAAAAACCACCTCAGGGGGTACAGGGATAAAGGGACCGGGAATGCTAAATTAATGGACATTTTCTTCACCAATAAATAGGAAAAAAAGGATCACTCACTGTATTTCAGACTGATCACAGCAACATCCAGATGGGAATCCAGGTGGTTAAGAACAAGCAGAAAAATGCATGATCTTGACCCCAAAGAGAAAAAAAAGGGGGGGAGGGGAGGAGGTTGATGAAGAAAAATCCAACTGCAATTATCCATCAATTTTACTCAACATAGGCACAAATCCAACTGTGCTCTGCTGACTTCTCTTCCCCAATCAATGCCTCATCCTGCCGCGGTCAACTTTTCTTCTCCGGAATTTCTTTGCAGATGTATTATTAATTCCCTCTCCTCTTGTGGGAAATTCAAAAAGAAAAGAAAACACCACCATATCAAGTCTTTACTTTCCTAAAAAAAGCCCCAAACTTTTCATTCCAAAAATATCTCCTTGGCTTACTTTCTCCTTTACAGAAAAAAATGAACATACTTTTCCTTTGTGGATCCTCGTTTCTCCATTTCCAATCATCCTTTTGGGGAGAGGGAGGGCAGCTGTTTTATGATTATTTATTTATGTCAGAACACACCAACCCCCGCGGGTCTGACACTGGTTTATTTCATTTTCCAATGCTCCCTGTGTGCACATATACACATTTGTGTTAAGATCCAGGTCTCACAAGAAAAAGCTTCGTTCTTCCTTCTCTCTTGCACAATCAGTTTATCCACTGCGTTCGGTTCCAGGAGAGAGCTGCGTCCCGCATCTTTCATTTTCGCAACGCACCCAACCGCCACCGCCACCAGAAAAAAAAAAAAAAAAAAAAAAGAAAAAGTCTCCTTTTACATCGCCGATTCCTCTTCCCAGCCCCGACCTCGAAGAATTTGGGGATCAACTCCCCCCAATCACCGCCCTTCCGGCCGGCCCCTTCTCCAAAGATCTGATTAGATTTCTCATCACAACCCAGTGCGCAATTGGATTTTTGATTTCAGCCACCCGGCCAGCCACCTTCCCCTCTCCCTCCAAACTCTGTTATATCCTGTCTCCTTCCCTCCACCGCCTCTGCAATTTCATAATCTCACGTTAAATGGAGTGCGGGGGGGCGGGGACGGGGGCGGGGGCGGAGGTAGTGAAGGAAAATTTCAAGGCTCCGTCAGCTGTCAAGAAGAAACCCATTCCTCCCCCCGCTACTTCTTTTTTTCTTTAAGGCTCGGGGTGGCTCGCGCTTCCTCTGTCCCCGCCCCCACCCCTAGCACCCGGTCCAGATCCTCCAGGTGTAGCAGAACTCCACGATCAGGGCCGGGATCACGGGGGAGACTCGTGACGCGGTCCCTCGCCGGCGGCCCCTGCCAGCCACCGGGTCTCCTTCTCCTCCATCAGCGGGCAGCGGATCCGGGGGGCGCCGCGATGAAAGAAGTTCAAACTGGGCTTTTATTTCAAATGGGGAGGGTGAAGTGAGGGGCTCGACGAGGTGTTTGTTAGGCAAATAAAAAAAATAATAATAAGGAAAGAAGATACAAAATAGAACATGGAAAGAAAAGAGGTAAAAAAAAAAAAATCCTAGTCGCTGGCTCCTCTCATCCTTCTCGAATGAAACTGCAGCTTTGATCTCATTTCCAGCTGCGTCGGGTACATTCTGGAGCCACAAGTTGGTCTTTCTTCGCCCAGACCTTCCCGACACCGGCTAGTCCTCCGCGAGGAGACGCGCTCCCGGGAGCGCAGCTGCTCCGCGCCGTCTTTAGCGCCATCGCCCCGGCTCGCGGCTCCCAGCGCGGTAGAAACCCCGGTCCCCTTCCATCCACTTCGGCTGGAACTCTCTCTTCCTCCCCAGCCCGCTCCTCTCTCCCCGCCTTTCCCCCCAAAGAATAAATGCGCTCCCAGTGCCGGCGGCAGTTCCTTTCTCTCGGCCAGTGCCACGTCCTGACGGTTTGGGTCCTGGCTCCCCAAATCTCCTCTCGGACTGCGGTCCCCTTCCCTCTTCTGCCCCTCTTTCTTTCCCTTTTTCCTTTCCCTTTTTCTGCTTGTGATCAGTAAAATACAATTACCCAATTACCTCCCATCATCTTAGCACTGATTGGTCAATTGCATTAACACTTGAAGTCGGGGTGGAGGGGATTGGAGCCCCTGCGGTGTGGCACTGCTGCCACCTGGAGGGCAGAACTAGAACAGCTGCGTTTCAAAGCCACCCCATACTCAGAGGTTAGTAACGCGCAAAGAAACTGCGGTCGTGTGGAAGAAGTCATTTTTTGTTTTGTTTTGTTTTTCAAAGCCTGGCTGTGTTCATCCTGAAAGCCGGGAGTTGGAGCTACAAAGGGGAAGACATAGAAATCAAGTCACCACTAGGATTCAAAAATATCAAACACACAAAGCTGTTGCTTTCAGAGAGCTGGACAAGAGCCTCTTCCCTCCCTAGGCAAGCAGGCTGGTCACAAGGTAAGGATTAATTAACACTACTATTACCTAGGACAGACTAATGAGAAGAAATCTAGGAGAAGCTGAAATACTGCCAGGGAGGGAGCCTGTGGTCCAGCAGGATAATCTCACCAGGAGGAGACACTGTAAAGGTGAAATAGGAGCCTTCAGCCTATGCAGTGTTGCAGTAAATTGGCCTGTTCAGTGTGTACAAGATATCCAGGACAGTTTGACAACTTAATTCCAACATCCCTCGCTCCTAGTTGGCTTTTCCACCAACTCACTTCGGGGGCGGGGGCAGGGGCGGGTGGCATATTTCAACTTCACTGGGTCTTAGAAAGATGGAAGGGCCTACATAATAATATTATTAATAACATATTTATGTTGGTTTCTTTCTCCAATATACAATTGTCAGAGGCCTTTTCTCTAAGCTATACTTACTCATTTTATACCATTCAGGTATGTGACCTTGAGACATGAAATGGATAAAATGAGGAATGATAATTCAAACAATAAAACGTTATATATTTGGGGGAGGAAGGCAAATAAATATTTATCTGTTTCAAGTTGCATAATCTATGATCTCTATGCTGATTTACTATACTTTTGAGAGATCAGAATATGTACTTGGTTTGAAAATAGTTTTAAATAGGCTGTATGCTACTCTATTAAAGCACATTATATACTTGAGATTTGAGTCTTTATGTTACAAATCATAATGAGAAGTGACATTCAACAAAAGGGAGAAAAGTTTTACTGAGGGAACATTACAGGCATATCCAAGTTCACACCAAATGTTCTTTTAGTTTTTTCCTGTTCCCTTTATAGTACATGGGTATTTCCTCATTTAGAGTTAAAAAATGAAAGGAACTACATCTATATATTTCTTTGGGTACTAAGCACATACTCTAATATGTATTTCAGATGTCAGCACCTGCAAGAGAAAAGGCCTTTCTTTACACATGAACTGTGATTTATTTAATTTCTGTCTTTTTGGAGAACTTCGATGTAGTTACTGATTGCATCAAAATGTGGATTTGTTGAGGGGTAATGGCATTGCTTCTGTTTTTAAAAGAATGCTGTATTGATTGATTCAAAACACTAGTGGGCAGTTGACTATAAGTTTAATTTGTCTTTTGAAGCTCTTACCCTTATATGCCAATTACAGTTTATCAACTAATAAACCATTAAAAAGGGCTTTCACTAGCTGCTCTAGATAACTTCAAAGGAATCTACCTTCTGGTTCTGAAGTAACCTAGAAGCCATTTGAAATGAAAATTTTCCTTTTTAGGGACTTTGATAGCAAGGGAAAGGCCAGTGATTGTTTTTCAAAGCTGATTATTAGCTCCCTACCAGACATCTTTAAAGCCTTTCAGAATGAATTAATCTATCAAACAAAGCAGCAGTGAAGTATCAGTGCTATTTAACCAAAAAGAAAAAGGAAAGTCTTCCCTTTCCTGTTTACCTTCCCATTCAGCAGCTGTGATTTATTTTCCCGCACCAGTCGCCCATTCACACTGTATGACCTCGGATTAGCCATTTGGCTGTCATTGTTTGATTCAGACTCAACCTGTGTTTTGGGGGCATCCATATGGCATGGTTTTCTTTTGCTGACTTCTCATATACATCACTTTATTTAAAACTCAAAACAACCCCCTGAGAGATTTTTAAAGATGGGGAAAGTGATGCTAAAGCCACATATTTGGTAAATATGTCTTGTTAAGACACAGGCAAGTCTTGAACCTAGAGCTACTCAATTCCAACTCTTCCAGTTTTGCTACAGTTTCTAGGTTTGGGAAGCATGGGGAATACATCTAAGACAGTCACAGACGTGCAGACTGTCATGATCAGCACTGAATCCCAGAGATGAATTCGTAACCCTATGGGTGAAATGAAATTGACACATTTGTCTCTGAATGATCTTACTCAAAGAGAATTGAAATAAGTAGTCAACAAGCTAACTGTCATACAAATGTACACGCAAACTAAATTGCTAAATAATGACATAAATATAGACACTTATTCAGTAGGAGTGTCAGGTACTGTCAACAATGACAGCATATGTGTTTAAGTAAAATTCTTTGCAAAAGTCCTTTTAGAGGAGATAATTGCCCAAAGAGTAACGGATTGTTCATGTCGTCACACTTCCAATTAGCCCATTTAGTTACCCAAAGCATGGGCAGGACAGATGCCATTAAAATGAGATGACTTGGGAGAAGAAGGGCACAGTGCTAATGTCGCAGGTTTGTTCTATGGACATTGAGAATTCTATGTTTGTGCTCCTCTCCTGATTTGTAGGCATTTGGGTGGGGAAACAAAATTATGTTATTTCACTGTGTGCTGATGACTCTGCCTGGTATAATCTTTAGCAAACAGCAGAGGACAGAATCTTGTAATCAGAAATACAAACTAACAAATAGAATGAGCTCTGTAACTTTGCTTTACAAATAGAGAAAATATGGATGTAGCTATTGTGTTTATTAATTTGATTTAACAGGCTGTAGGCTAGTCTATTCAAGCACAACACATACTTAAGATTTGAGTGTTTGCATTACCAATTCTGGGAATAGACATTCCCTTTTCACTTCCAGCACTATTAAAAGGGACCAGGATGTCCTGTGGGATAATCGTATCAAGCTTACCTCTAAAGTCAAGCATAATGAATGATGGCATGTGAATTAACTTCATTAGACCAACTGCTTTTGAAAACTACTTTAATGATCAAATGCCATATTTAGTGGGAACTTACTACATCTGTTATGTTAGACAATATTCCAAGAATGTTGTCTTTCAGAATTAGAAGATAACCTAATAGTCATCTATTCTTTGTTCCTTGAAATATAGATGAAGACACCAAAGAAAGAGATTTGCAAATTTATGGTTTTTTAAAGTATCTCCTCTACTACCCCTCCACCCAGTTCCCACCCTATATAGTCTTACTTTACTGTGCCCTCATGCTTTTAAAATTTTTAAATAATAACTAGCACTTAATGATAGCTTATGAGTGCCAAGTACAGTTCTAAGTATGTGGTAGATATCAGTGCAGGCAATCCTCCCAACAATTTTATGAAGTAGGTACAATTACCATCCCGGTTTATAGATAACGCAAATGGAATTGTGGTTAAGTAAGGGCACCCAGCTAGGAAGTGACAGAGGCAAGATTTTCAACGCAGGTTACTTTGCTTCAGAGATCGCGGTTTTAATGAATGTTTCCTATTATTACTTACTGCATTGGATGCAAATCATTTGTTCATGTCTACATTCCCACCAAACCATGGTCGATTTCATGAGAGCATTATTTTTTGTATTTCTAATACTGTGTACATAGTTGAATAAATGAATGTCTAAAATTAAGATATTAGGAAATGTCTACATTTTTGTTTCTTAGTGACTATTCTTTTTACTGTGGTACATAAAATGTTAGAAATAGAAGATACTTAGTGCAATTATTAAATAGAGAAGCTAAGAAAGCATGCCATCGAATAAAATAATTTAATCAGAGCTTTATAACTTCTATATCACTTAGCTATTGCTGCACGATAAACCATTCCAAAATTGGTAGCTGAAAGCACTAATTATTAATTGTTTCTCATGAATCTACAGGTCAGTCAGGGATTGGTTAAGTGGCTCTTCTGATCTTGGCTGTGTTCACTGATAGCTGATCTAGAATGGTCTCAGCTACAGTCA